AAAATCAGTTCAGCTATGTTTATTAGCTACAACCTCTAGCAAGAATCTTCCTAGACTCAAACCCCAGCTCCCAAGCCAGCCAGTCACAACACTGTGAATTTCTCAGGGAGGTGCCAGCCTCATCCTCTTGTAGTTCCCACGCTCTCTCGGTGAGTTAAGAAAACGCTTATCTCCCTGAGCCTGGCCTTCATAATTCCATTCCATCACAGGAACCTTGTTCTGGCATTAAAAAGCAAAAGTCATTTTCAGAATTAAATATTCTGTTTATATTTAATAATTTCAGAATTATTCAATTTTACAATATCAGACATGAGATAAATAGTATCAGAGATGATCTTACCTTCAGTGAACCTTATTCAGAGTACATACATTCAGTATCTAATGTTAATGAAAATCACTACTTCGTTCCACTCTATCAATTAAAAGCTGTGCTTTAAAAGAATAAGTGAAACGTAATTATACCTAGAAAATCCTTCTAAGGCTGCAGTTTTATCCCGAGTTTCTAGGAGCAAGCTCCACTGACTACAGTGACTCTTTTGAATAGATGTGCATAGTTTTCACTCGCAAAGGGAGCTTTTCCTCAGGGGCATTTTTGCATTAATTTCCATCTAAAACAAATAGCCTGCCTTGATTTTGTTTCAGGGACTTAAATTTAGTGGAAACAAAGTCTTGTAAGTTGTCAGGAGAGGGGAGCGAGTGCAGTGGAGAAGTGGAATCATCCGCAACGGAGGCAGATCAAAGAGCCTTGGAAGACGACAGCCGGTAAATTACCATTCAGTAGTTTCATTTAAAGTTAATCTCTGAAATGCAATTCACCTGCAAGCTTAGAACAGTCCTTTGGGGTAACCTGCTGCAGACATTTCAGGCATTTGCTGGAGATATTTTCCATGGGACTGTGCCTTTATTATAATCCAATATGGTAAATTTGATATTATTGTCTCTATGTATCTATATAATATGTGCATGTATTTGCATTTTCCTATGCTTTTCTACCATTCAAAAAGTCTTTGGATGAAATTGAAGTTCAGAGTCAATTAATTGATGCTTATAGTTCTTCAGCTGGTTATCTGCTGAAGAAATCACATGCTATTATAACTTTTATGATATGGATATTACATAAAATAGGAGGCCAGCAACTTGCAGATAGACAGGTGTCTCCAAACATGTAGTTTTAAAACACTGCACATATTAGGACCAAGAGATAGAAAGTTTGTTGGCTGGTTGACATTTCTATGACAGATATGTTGATCTGATCCTGCAGGTCTGAGAGAGAGGATTGGAAAACCTCTTGGAGTGGGTCATTGGTTGAAAACTTTGTGCCAGAAATTGAAGTAGCTGAAGTGGCATATACTGCTGATATAGAGATGTAAGCATGGCTTGTGTTGTGTTTTGTTTTGTTTTAAAAAAAAAACCTGTCTGGAAGATGTAGAGCAGTAGAGCTGAAGGGGATAGGAATGTTTACATAAATCACTCTGAATGCATTTTTGACACAGGAAGATTAATCAGTGCTGCTGCTTTAATTCAGTTGTTATCTAAGATATATAGATATATGGGAAACTATATTAATATATAAAAAACTCTGGTTAAGGCTACGTTATGCCTAGAATCCTAAGTGATGTGTATAAGTTATAATTTACCAGTATATAAAGGTTAAATGTCAGTTATCATCATCTGGCTTGTCATACCTGTTTGCTACTAATATACGACCTATTTTGTATGGGCAGCTTTTTGGTATCTGATTTTTCAGATTCTTTATATAGGATATAGATTTATGCTCTGGAAATACAATTCTGCCATCTGGCCTTGGAAACAGTATATGATCTCTTATGTTTTTTAAAGTGATAAATTTAAATAACTGATATGTATGTTTTAATGCAATAAACTAGGAAAGCTTACAGTACCAAAATATTTCAGAAATAGGAGTAAGATTGAGAGGTTTTTATGACGCGGGAGGGAGAATCATAGGCAATTTAACTGTATAGCCTAGATATACTGTGGATGTTCATATTCATTGAAAATAATGTAAAAACTGATTTAACATGTACCTGTTTTTTTTTCTTTAAATCCTATGATAATTTGCTGCATAATCAATAATTGCCTTATATATATATAAAAAAACACTACCTCCTACTTCATTGCTTATGCATAAGTGTGCTGTTTAATACCAATCTATATGTGTATGAATGATAATGACCATTTGTTAAAGCCATACTTCTGCACCGTTAATGAGATCTAGTTGCAGTTCATGTGAAGATACCAGATATTCTGTAGCTTATTTTACAAATTATGTTATGCCCAACAATGCACTTTATCACAGACTTCTTGTGCCAAGATCATTGGCATATGCATACACACAGACACACCCATGCATACCTTTTGATTAAGGAAAGGTGAAATGATTTGCACAGTCATGTCTCTATGCTTGTTACATATGTTTACTGTAGTAGTGTGGGCCAGCTTTATGGAATCTTTGGAAACATTTTGCTGAGCAGCTGTTTGCTAAAAGTGCCTTTTGTCTCCTCGTCCAATGAAAAGAAAGCTGTATTTGTTCTTCCTTATGCCATTTACTCTTTGTTTGTCTTAATGTCATTAACACACGAGTCTCCATGTGCTTGGACTTCTCAATGTTCACTTTGTATTTTGGGATATGAGGCCAAGAGCTCTGTAGAACTGTATAAAACTGAGGTAAATAAAGATTTGGACATGACATCTTTTGCCATCTTTTGTGGAAAAATGTGATCAGTTCAAAAGCCAAAGTAAAGGTAAAGGTTTCCTCAAATTGACTTCTATGACACAGGAACCCAGATCACACTTGCTCATCAAATTTTAGTCTGCATTAAATTACCATGGCATGTGAAAGTACTAGATATATTTGAGGTGTCATGCAGATTTCTCAATTCCTGCTTCTCTCTACAGCTCCTACTGCCATCTCCAAATTTATTCATAAGGTCTTCCAGTATTCAGGTCATTCTTCCCTGGAAGGGAAGGGATATTACTAAAAGTTATTTTCCCCTCATTTATGAACTTCCAGTGGATCCATGTCTTCCATGAATACAGAAGGGCATGGCTGGATCTAGCCCTTTATTATATTTTATTACTAGGGATCTTGAGATATTTTTTAAATAATTCCTGTTACAGTTTTTCTTATATAAATCCTACCAACCTGTTCCCAAAACAGACCTAACAGCAAAACTCCTGCTGTCAATAGAAGTCCTGAGGCACCACATTTTCCTGTACATCCATTCATATGCAGACAAGCATTTGGGTGTGGTACTTCCATATACTAGGTATGAAAACTTAAAATGATATTTGTTCAAACTTCCTTACATACACAAATGCAAATATGCTATGTCTAAATTCTGAAATCCTACTGTTAAATATAATCCAATGGTTCTGAAATATAATTGCCAGATTTAAAGTTTAAAAATCAGGTTTGGTTTATATAAAAGTTTATATGGGAGTTTTAAAGTGCTGATCCTCTGAATATAATGGTCAACAAAATAATTATTGAAAACCTCATTTCAACTAGAATAGTTCAGGTATCTCCATACAAGAAAGGTTCAAAACATGATAAATAGGAAACAGGGTCATAGCCTCCACTGTACAATATTGGTGCCTCCCAAGATGTGACCATTTGAAAAATAAATACCAGTTCTTACCCAAATCTCTACTCCCATGTTGCCACTTAAAATTGGAGAAATCAGCAGAGCATACTATCCTCTTCTTACCTCTCTTAATTATTCATACATTTTCTTTTCCTTGTTTCTCCTCCAAACTCCCCACCTCTACTACTTCTTACTACTACTGCCTTACGTCCACTATCATTACTATCCTCAGCTGGGGAAGAAGATATGCAGGGAAAAATGGGATCAACAAGCTTGTTTGAGCAGCCTTATTGTTTCCAAATAAATATAGATCTTGAAATTGAGTGCAGCAAGTATGAAAAGGAAATGGAGTATAGTTGAACAGAGTAGGAAATTATTTTGGAACTGCAATTTCAGATTGACTGGAACAGGGGTACCAGAGGGAATTAATTTCAATAATTTAGAGGAATTTAAAGTTTCTCCTTTATAGTAAAGGAATCTTGGCTGTTAGAATGAGAAAATCAAATGTGCTTTATCTTAGTCACCATGCATTAAGAATGTCCTTTATTTGATTCCCCAAATAATTATCCAAGGACAGGAAATATTTAAGATCAGAATAGTATTGCTTTGGGGAGATCTATTTTATGTCCTATTTTTTTTTTTTGCTGCTATCAATATTTTAAAACACAGCTTTCTGTATAGATTGCACTTCAGGGTAATTGCACTGTGAGTTTAATTCTAGAAACATCTGCATAGGACCCTTCTACTGTGTTGTGTGTGTGCCCATTTATTTCTGCAGTGTAGACAGAACACAACCCATCTTTTTCCTTACCCTGAACTGCATCAAAAACATTTGCAGTGTAACTTTGTGTAATTTGAAATATGAAGCTGCAGTACTTTAAATGTATTATATTAAGCTTTAGTGACCTATTGTTCATGCAGGTTATACTTTTTATGGGCCAGTTATGTGGCACTGATGCAGTTAACATGTTTTTTAATATTCCTGGAAGACTAGAGATATGCTTACCTGAGATTCTAATCCATGTTAAAAGCTACTCATTTAGAAGAAAGGAAACCTAGGTCTGTAGTCATTAAAATATTTTAGAACTTTAATGTCCTAAATTCTTAAAACTAGTACACACTGCACATTTGTTTCTCTGCACTTCCCATCCCATCATAATGTAGCAGACATGCAGGTAGTTTCAGCACAACATGATGCATCTATTTTGTGAGTTTTGCCCTGTTGGTATGTTTGTACAAGCAATTGGTAGAGCAATTTGAGAGTGTAAAGCAGACCTATGCTACGTAATCGCTACTGCGTAACACTTTAATCATTAATCTGTCTATATCCAGATGATTAAAGAATAATAAAAAACTAGCTTTTCTTGATTGGATGTTATTATGAACAAGTGCTTAAAATCTACTTTTTAATGATTGAAACTGAAATTAAAGCAGTTCGATGGAATTGACGTAGTGAGTTCGGTATGTTAAATATCATTTGTTCTTTGGTCTATCTGCCAATAATACAGCATTGCAGTATTTTATTGCTGCTTGTTTCCTCTTTTATGTATCCAAATTCTGTGTGTGTTTTTAAGCATGTTTTAAAGAATATTTCAATTTTTTCCTTTTGTAAAACTCAACAAAATAGAATATCTGTCTTGATTAGAAATCTGCAGTCTAGTTTATAAGATTACAGCTTCTAAACATATCAAAAATACATTCCCAAGCCACCATGAACCATTTTTACAAAACGTGGTCATTCTAAGGTTTAACCTGTTAGTCTCAGGCATTGGATGTCGTCCCTGGCCCGCCTGGCACTCAGCGTGTCCTCAAATCTATCCCGGAGCACCTGCATGAACTCCGGGAAATTCTCTAGCTCTGCTGCATTGGCATCATATAGACAGACGACCCAACCGGCTGCTTGGCCTCTAACAAGTCAGCCACGTAGGCAACTTGCTCCCCGTCATTGGAGAAAAGGTGGCCACTCCGCTTCATAAAATTCCTCACCTGTGTGAGGAAGCAGGGTAGTTGTTCAGGGTTCCCCGAGAACTTTCCGTTCAGGACCCGGAACCGCAGTGCGTCCACCGCCCGTTGGTCTCCTGATACCTCGCCTCCGAGGCACGTCCTCGGAGCCGGATGGGGCACAGGACCAGCGCTGATCTCGCCCGACTCCTCCTCCACCTGTGGTTCTGCTGCAGGGGCCTCGTTCCCACAAAGTATGGCCTGCAGCATCGCCTGGATGGCTTCTAACCGCTGCTCGAATTTGGCATCCAAGCGGGTTAGGTATTCCTCCAATTCCCGGGCTTTGGATCCTGAGCCACGGCTCGTTGTGACTCCCCATCCTGCCGACCCATCAGGCCCCATGCCGACACCAAACGACCACCTGGCGTCCTCCGGCGCCCTCTCGGCTGCATCCCCGCGCCCCTCGCTCTGGGCCGGTCCCGCCATCGCACCTTTGGGCTTCAGCTCCTCATTGCACCGCTGGCTCGCGCCTTCTCTGTCGCTGGCCATCTCAGTCAAAGTCGACAGGCTTGGAATACTCGGCTGTCCTGTGTATAGAATTGCGAGTGCTCCTCGGTGATACTGGGTAGTGCTCAGGATGAACTCTGGCTTTATGCAAGGTTTACCCCGTTCGTCTCAGAGAAACTCTCGTGACACGTGTGTTCAGCAAAGAAGTTT